TCTGAAAACGCACGACGTTACAGCCCTTCATTTTAAACAATATGTAGATGTTGGGATCATGCGTCCATTAAAGTGCTAAGTAGACTGGGGAGGGGGGGGGGGGGGGACGCCGCAAAAGGAAAAAGGAGAAAGGGGGGGGGGGAAAGAAAAGTCATGACCCTGGTTAATTGTATTCCAAATAAAATTTTGAGAGTTTAAGAACTTTTGAGAAAACAAATCGCTTTGCTACATCGCAGGTATTGCTTCCGGATCTCGTAATTTCACGCGACGTTATTAAATTAATCATGGCTTATTAGTAGCATCTTTAATGGTTAGAACATAATATTCGCGTGGCTTTTATACTCATTGCGCCCCAATAAATTACAGTGTAAAGTTGGCATTTGGGAAAGTTAAGAATTTGAAAAAAGTCTTAGCTTTAAAGATAAAGTTGAGTTCTGGTCATGTGATTGTATTGTGAAAGAAACGATGTGAAATCTATCAGAAAAGGTTGATCATCAGTAGTATATAAGTATTCGTGTGTATTGCAAGGTTCTGAAATCATCAAAATGATAAGAAATTTGGCCAAATCCTGGCAAAGTTACAAGCACTGTACACAGAATGATGTATATGGGACTACACGAGCACATGGCGAAAAAAACCTCCCCCCCCCCCCCGATTTTTACGATGTTTTATGTCATATTTAGAATATAAAGGCATTTGAACAGCCATGCTTTTCAGGGAACATGTTTAATCTGATGTTCTTCCACCCTTGAATAATAACAATGATAACGCTCACAAATTATTTTTCACCTCTTCCCAGAACTCAACCTTCTCTTTAATTCTCTTTTTACCTTGCTCAATTCCCCCAGAGAGTTCGTTGATTCTGCGCCACACTATCGAAGAAAAATTGAAGAGAACACTGCATAAAAGCTGCTTATGTTCAAAATTCACAACTCCAGTGCAATGCAAAGTGCAGAATGAAACTGCAAATCTGTACATTGCGCCTTGCATTTCATGCAACGATATCGCCCCTGAAAGGCTATAGAAAAGGAATTATAGATCCCTTGTTTGGATAATTTACGCCGGGAAATAGGACATTATATCGAATAGGCTTCTCGCGTAAACATTAACAATTTCAACTTGCATTCATTCTCATACGTTCCGGTCTAAGCGCAAACTTTGAATTCTCTTGATTCCCTTTTGATCTCACCGGCGATTTAGATATAATAATAATAATACTAATATATCTTGTTACCCAGGGTAGCCTCATCAGTATTCATACTGTTCTCCCTGAGGGCCCTGCAATCATATTATTACCCCGGCTTTAACCGAGCTACCATGAAAAGGTGCTCAAGCATTCAAGGAATTGCTTCCTACCAAGGAGTTTTAAGAGATGGAGTCATATCTAGCTCATTCCCTTTGTACTATCTTCGATGCCGTTCGCGTATGGAAGCCTAAGTTGTATAAAAAAACACATACAACATTTGAAATGACTATCGTGTATTTGATAATTGATTGATCAGTTTAACGGAAAAGCTTTAAAAATAACATTTTGATAGAACTGACAAATGAGATTGATATCGTATTAGATACTGATATGTATGGTAAGTGTTATACGTTTTAGAATAAAGTTTTACCTCCTAGATCCTTTTAAAATACGATGATGTTTATAATTCGTAATCGCTCGTATTTATCATCAATTCTTACGTAGGCCTATGCCCATTCTTCTTTTTATGTTAATATATATTTAATATTTTGACATTACTATCTCGCGAAAATAAATTAAAACCTGTAATAGTAATTTGAAACTCTCAAGGATTTGTATTCTAACTGTTTTATTTACAACTACCTTTCCCTTTCTCATTTCCTTTTCCCAAGCTTCATCCTATGGCCTTTTCTTCATCTTCATCGTATAATCTTCTCCTTCGGTCTCTCCTTTTCTCTCTTTAAAAAAAAAATCAATATCTTTGTCAATGATTGTCTGTTACACGCGTCAGTCAGCTATTGTAATGTCACGATTATCAAAATAGATTTTGTCAATCTTAAGAGGTTTGACGTAGATTTCTCAATCTTAGGAGGTTTGACGTAGATTATCGGCAAATTTCCCACACACCACACACGCGCACACGCACATACTTTCTCAAACCCACACACAAAAATTCACATACCTGTCCACACATATACCTTTACGCACTCTTCCTCTAACACTTTTCCATATATATTTTTTTCATAGCAATTTGTTTTATTCCTCCAGATATAATACAAACAAGAACAACGTACGATCGAATAAAATAAACAAATGTTTTCAATATTAATTGCTTATACATAACATAATTAAACAAAAACTCAATTGCAGTATAACGTAGCAACAAAGTGAACTTTAAGTACATAAACATAATGTTATTCACTCTATTAAACAAAAAAACTTGAACAAATCTGCAGGTTATTTTATTGGTAGAAAGAACAAAGTCCTGCATCTCCCTGCCCACCCCCTCACACAAACACACCCACACACTACTCACTCAGTGGATGTCTGCTAACATTCTCAACTCAAGAACTATCCAAATCACACCTTAACAAGCTCATGGTGGAGAGGAAAACAAATCTTAATAAAAATTAAACTGCTCCCACCCATTTGAATGGCTATTTCCTTTTCCTCACCCTATAATTCAAAATGATTTTCTTCATCTTTTTAAAGACACACACACACACACACACACACACACACACACCGCACATCACTATATATATATATATATATGTATCTACGCACACATAATATGTAATCTATCTGTGCATGTTGAAATATATACCACTAATTAAGAAACTATTCTATCCATAGAAACAATAGAGCATGGACTTCATCAAGTCTCAAGAGGTAGACAATGATAGAAATCAATACATAAATTCCGAAGTAAGAACCTTCGTGTTTTCAGTCAAGAGTGCAAACTACTCAGTCTGTCTTGACACCTTCATTGCCAGATATTCTGTTAAAATGAATTCATCAGAGTGATAATGTGCAAAGGATCGAGAAGAATATAAGAAAAGAGGATAGGACAAGAAAGTTCGACAGTGGCGGAAGGGAGGGGATGAGGAAGAGGAAGGGGGAGTGGGAGGGGAGGAGAGAAGGAGTGATATGGCATATAGATGGGAAGAACAATGATACATTACAATTATTGTACAGCGCTCATGTTTGTTATGCACACCTACTTGTAACACTCCATCTGAGACCTAAAAAACTCTTAAAAGCCAAACAAATAATCGACTTCAATTTGATATGTTGGATGGTTGAATAAAAAGCGTTGACAACTACATGCAAACATTTATCTGATGTCAATCAAGCCTGATACTTCATTTTATTCCATAATGTTTAACCATCTTTGTATAAACCAGAGAGTGATTTGACTGTAATGATCACGTACGTTCACACATTAACGGCGAAGGTAAACATTGAAAAAGACGGAGTAAATGCACCACCTCGGTCATACCGCCAATCTGCCTCTACATAGACTCTAAACCGACCGATCCTCGGCCGTTTCGGGGTAATATGAGATGTGTTCGATGTCTTGTTGGTCTGGCGTCGGTCTAGTTGGTGTGACCTGGGCATCACGCTATTGCAATTCGTGCGTCTATCAAGAACTTGTTTTCACATATTGAGCACCATCAGACGAAAGATGTGCATCTCGTCACCATACTAACGATGAAGCCTGTTCTTTACGATAATGAAGATTAATTTGGAAAGAAATCATAACGGAAAATACGGACTTGACAAGGGTAATCAAGCCCATAATTATGTGCTGCTTCTTGAACGCCAAAGGAATCACCAAAAACAAGCTTGCGGTTCGTCAGAGATTTCCTAATGAGCTTGCATCGGGGTCCGAGCTGTATATTAATACCACTACATTGTACCTGCTCTCATTAGCATTCATTAAAATAATAATGAGTATGATATCCATTTTCTGACTGGGTGTCAACAGTCATCATCGCGATAACTAGAACAGATGTGGAAAATCAGACTAAGCCTCTACAGTCTACAAAGCTGTCGAAGTCCTAAATTGACTTGTTCAGAATTGCAGTTGTAAATGCCTTCAAAATGAACCTTATGTAAACCGCTTTTCATAAGCTGATACTTAAAGAAAAAAAAACATATACGTTGTATCATATGCTAAGAAAGGCCATCGTGCTTGATAGACATTGTTTCATCGCAAGTCGTATCCAAACCTCACGATAAGAGACTTTCCATACGATGAACAAAACTATTCGTGGTATATTATTCAGTGTATTCAATGGTAAAAACACAATCGCCTATCTGTTGCTGTCCTCTTCATCAGGCCCTAGATGAAATAAAAAGTGAGTTCCAGGGAACAGAAAACAAGAGGCTCTCAAAAATCGAACACTAAGATGGACAAAAGCTAAGCTGTGTGTTGTGTTCCGGAACAACAAAGTTTGTTAGACCAGACTAAAATGTTATTATGAGGGTTGTTGATCACAATTCCTTCAGCTTATCAACACCCAGTGCCAACCAAACATAAACTCTTGATCATGGTGATGTTAGTATGAGAAATTTGAATTTTCCTATTTGCTTTTTTGTTTTACGATTGATTAAACAAAGACACTTCTCATACCTAGCAGAACAAAGCAGAGAAGGGAAAATATACATGATGTTCGCCGAAGGCTTGTTCAAACAGTCACATTTATCTATTTGAAATCTACCGTAGATCGCAAGTTGTTTTCCCCTAAAAAATACAAAGCTCTTTCAATGTTACTAGCTAAGGCAAACTAAATCTTCAATGGAGCAGATTTGGACACTTTAATGCACTGTTAACTGCAAGGACGACACCAAACCTCATAACAAACAAAGAACCGAGGAGAACAAACGCTGCATGTTAATAAAGTGACAGGTGACCAGGAAACTTGATACATTTGATATTTACACAAGCTTTCTTTGGATATTTTTGGAGGCTGAATATTGCGATCATAATCCGATTTTGATATTGGACTTCATTCGATGTGTGAACATCATGGAGGAGGGAAATGCCACCAAAAGTTACGGTGTTAGCAATATCACGTCGAGTGATGCTGACGTAGAGAACATGGTAACAGCATGGTTCCAAATAATCAGTGGATGCCTGGGGTTTGTAGGGAACCTTATTTGCTTGGTCGTCTTGGGGAGGAGATCGAGGAAGGACCACACCAACTGGTTGATCATCAACCAGTGTGTCGCTGACCTCGTAACGTCCGTCCTCCTCGTCGTCGCTACCGTTGACCAGACGTGGTTTCGAACGACATCGTTCTCCTTAATGTCACCGCTCAAGTGCGAGTTGCTCTGTCGCCTCTGGTACTCGCAGGTTGTAGTCTTCACCGGATTTGCCATCTCAACCTTTAACCTGACATTGATATCTTTTGAAAGATACCTGGCAGTAATTCACCCTATCGTTTATTTAGCGTCCTTTAAACGCCATTCTACGTTTCTACTGACAGTTTTCGCTTGGTTTACTGCACCTCTTATGCAGGTCGTTCTCGCTTCAGCCTTATACAAGTACCATGGTGGACACTGTGTATACGTTGGACAGAGACCAGGTTTCGGGATAGGGGTCTTCGTTTGGGAGTTTTTACTTCCAGTTTCCGTCATGACATATGCCTACGTGAAGATAGCTCTGAAGCTTCATAGTCTCGGGCGCATCTCTGCCGTCTGGGCACACGATGGTCCCAGCGTTAGGGTCAATGCTGTCCAGGGTGGCGCCCTCTCCGTTGGAAAGAAAATACCTGAATGCAATGCTAGTACATCGCCTGAAGACTTGAACTTGAAGGAACTGCCACCGTTGCCCCAAGCCCCAGTCAATATTCGTCGTCATAAGACGACGATTACCCTCTTCATCGTCTACCTTACATACATGGTTTGCTGGACTCCTAATCAGGTCGCTTTCCTCGTCTTCAACTTGGGTGGGATTTCTGATTATTTCGGAAGTAAGTGGCATGCAATGACCACCATCTTAGCCTCCTTTAACATCTGTGCGAACCGATCATTTATGCCTTCCGGTACAGCCCCTTCAGGAAAGAATTTCGTCAGATACTCAACGAATTTACTTGCTCTCGTTCATGACTAATCAAATGAAAGTTGTGATGTTTGTGACGAAATCCGTCCAATGAGGTTCTATGGGAAATCGGCTTGAATGATGCATTCATATGATGCTAAGGTATTTCCAAAATTAGAGAAAAAGAGGAAATATTTCTGCATTGCTCATCATAGAACTTTACGTTAACTTAACCAACCAGCCGTCAAAACCAAGAGTAGCGTATGCGTCATAGTTGCTTGCTTCAAACTCTCGACTGGGGATGCACATAATTTTAATGTATTTCTTAAATAGTGGGGATGAGTGTGTCATATAACTTGAATTAGTTCATATACGTATTGCTTTTTCTGCAATATTATTAATTTGTGTAAGTGTGTACAATAAGTATTTGCCCAAATAGATGATAATGTCCATTATTATTTTATAGCATGATGTTCTTAGGAAAGATTTTTCGTCGTATAGTTATATAATTATTCATAGACTAGACTGAATGAAATGTGTCAGATCATGACTGTCTCCTGTCAAAGTGCAAAAGCTTTTACGAATACTTGTAAATCGGTTCAAACTGAAAACCAACCAAATGTGATCTTGAACAACAAAAATATCCCGGTATCAGCATTTGTATGGCTGAAATAATGATCCTTTCAGGACATGATGTTCCTTTTGCATCCTCAATATGTTTTAACTAAACAGGGTGGGAGATAAATTTTCGGTCATCCACTTTTAAGGATGCAAAAGCCTTACAAAAACGCATCATATCATTAAATATTGCACCCCTGAATGAAGTTGATGATAAAATAACACAAACTTTAAGGATATTCGAAAGTTGTAACTATCCTTAGAGTATTTCTAATAGGGCCTTTATTTGTCAATATACTCGTAATTTGCAAAATATGACATTGAGGCAAAACTTAACAAATTATGTTAAACAACAAGAAGAACAGTACGCACCGGCAGCCATGGTAAGTGAAAAGAAAGGTTGTTATCAACTTTTTATGAGACATTTGACGCATTTTTATTGCATTTGAAAGAATGTTTAAATTTCTCAATAGCTGCAGCTGAAACCAAGCGACAGAAGAATTGTTTTCATGTACAATGTCATAAAAAAATCCGGTTGGAATTTATTACATTCACAATTCAGAACCGCATTTGTCATCCATGCATAAGTGAAGTGAAAAAGTAGCTATCAGATCTTGTTTTATAAAACCTTTTGCCAATATCAAGTGTCACATTTCCATGACAAATTAGCTCACAGCCAACCAATTGCAACGATTACAGTAGCTTATAGCAATTATTGTAACTTGTATTTGATATCAGGTTTTATGAAAGAGAGCCTTATTTATGAGTTCATGCAAATAAAAGTTCAAACGGCTGTCCCCCCTGAACGATTTATAAGTTCGTCACTTAAAAATATTATTGGAATTGAACTAGATCCTTAGACGTTTCAGCCAATATTTCACTGTTCGAAGCCTAGATACAGAAGTAATGTAACGCAAATAGGCATAAAACATGTTTTGAACCTTCTACCAATTCGAAGCATAATTATGTCAAGTAGCATTTTTTCGTGAACATGCAGAAGACGTATGGATTGCGAATCGATTCTGTTTGGATATATGTATGAGGAGTTTTATTGGTTTGATTATGGAGACTTTTCATAAACAATGATTAACCTTTTTATGTTATTTATCATGCATCTGCGAATCAAACTTTCAAATGAACATTGCAAGTGAGAAACAGATAATAACCGCACTTTTCAACCGATAAATTTACTCTTGAAAATCAAAACCACAAAAATCACGAAAATCACAAAGTATGCCATTCCGTTTAACGTCAGTTTACTTTGCTTTTACACAAGGGAAAATAGTTTATCTGATCCTACTGATGAATGTTCTCCTTTTGATAAGTTGAGCCAGTGGCGGAGTTTTGAGGGCGGATGGTTGAGCCAATGGCGTAGTTGTGAGGGCGAATGGCACAGACGCCCGTGCCCCCTTTATTGATACCCCCAATATGCACACCACAAATACGCTACAAACGTGCCTAAGTCAATTGTGTAACTTTTCGTATTGTGCCCCCACCCTCCTTTAAACATTCCTGATCTGCCCCTTGTTTTCTTCCTCTCATCTCCCCCTCTCTCTTTCTCTCTCCCTCTCTATGTCTCTGTCTCTGTGTATCTCTCTGTCTCTGTGTCTCTGTCTCTGTCTCTCTCTCTCTCTCTCTCTCCTTCTATCTCTCTGTCTCTCTCTGTCTCTCACTGTCTCTCTCTGTCTCTCTCTGTCTCTCTCTGTCTTTCTCTGTCTCTCTCTGTCTCTTTCTCTCTCTATATAATATTTATATATATCATGAGAGCATTGCAGTTCCCTGCTTAATTATTCACAGCAGTCACTATCTATTTGTATATACGTGACCACCACCCCCCCCCCCCCCTCCCATCAATCCAAACTCCTTGCCTGCTAACAGTCATTAAAGACGCCATGCGTCACAAATACTTATCGCGTAATTATCTCGTTAGAATACGAGGGAAAGAAAAGCAAATATCAGAAATGTTTTTTATTTAACACATGCAAACTTAATTTCCCGTGTTTACCTCTCTGTAAAAATTTGTCAGGCAACACATACAATCTAAATGTAATTTGTGCCACAGATATCAGTCTTAATATATTATCATTATTTCATATATCGAACGAATTTCATGTCGCTAGGGAGAAATATGATCCTCACAGTCTCAAATCGCAATTTCAAATATAATTCTACCTGTCTCCCGAGCTGCAGATATTATCCTACTGCGGAAATTAAAGATTTGCCTACTACGTGGGAAGTTACAAAACATCGAGAACATGATTATTACGCCTTTGGATGTTACAATAAAATACTATGTGAAATGTATATTCTTTAATTTCCAGGGGTTGACTTTTATCAGCGCATAAATTTGCTCGGACTTCGAACACCGAGCACGTAAATTATTGATCGTACAGTGAAAGCAGAATATACTATTTGAACGGCAAAATAATGAGGGTTGACTATTATCAAGTATAGAGATTAGTTTAGACATTGTCAATACTGTATAAAATTATGAAAAATCGAGATCATAATATAGAGCACACATTTATATCTGTCACAACTATATCTTACCGATGTTTTTAGAAAAGACAAACGTCAAAATGTTCTTCGTTGGTGTTGTTCTTTAATATTGTTAGGCTGATCGTTATCAAAATGTATTTGAAAGCGATATCTTTCTTGGAGTTTACTTAAGGTGCGTTTTGCTTGACATGTTTGAGAGCTGGTCGTACTTAGCGTATGAACCCCCCCCCCCCCACACTCTCTCCCTCTCTCTCTCTCTCTCTCTCTCCTCACTTCTTTTACCCAGAGGTTTCTATCGTATGATCTCTACTCCCTCTTTCTCAGTCTCTCCCATTTTACCACTCTCTGTCTCTTCTCTCTTTTTTTTTCTTTCTCTCTCTTTTCCCTCTGTCTCCTTTCTTTCCCTCTCGCTTACTTTTTCCTCTCCCAATTTTCCTCTTACCGCACGTAGGAAACGATTCAAGGTTGTCGGATTGATACACATTTACATAAAATATATCAATTATACAGAATATACGATATCAAGCACTTCCGTAAGAATTTAATCACCCTATTGCAACGTAGTTTCAGGCGTGATGACGCAAAGCATCTCTAGGTGTGCCGCGAGAGACATCTATTATATATATTACAAAATTAGTTTGAATTAAATTAATTACATGAAAATAAAAGAAACCGCATGTACGTGTATTTTCATGAAGAAAAAACAGGTAACAGATAGAAAGTTTTGTATTTTTCCTTGCTCGATAGTAACAGGCACCGAAGGGCTTGGATACCTTTATATCGGGGCAATGAAGTGCTGAAATTTTCCATTTGACAGCGAGATGCCCAAATATGGTAGTGGTCGTTATTTTACCTGACTGCTACGAAAGCATAAATGCTTGTTAATAAGCAACCAGTCATATTTGGGAATCAAGTACCCTTATAATATCATTTTATATCTAAATTACATTACACTCGTTCGCTTCACTCGCTCGCAGCATTTAGAAACAAAGAATTCCGGGCAACGAGATGCCCTAATATTCTCACGTTCATGTGTCGAGGTGACCGAATATATGAATTTTGTTTTCATGTATTCGGCAGAAATGTATGATTAATTTTACAATTTTATATTGTATATTATCTAAGAAGAAAAAACACTTTTACTAAATCAAAAATAATGTTTTTGCTTGCTTGCTCCGCTTGCTTGATAACTTTAGAAACAGATGTGCCCGTATGTTTGTATATTGCAATTGACGAGTGCCGTAGAGTTTCAAAATGAATCTATTGTGATGAATTTAAGGTTGGTGTGACGGCAAACGTTTTAAAAGGGTGCCGTGACTTAAAAAGGGGTTGAAAAGTGCTGCCATAATGTACATCCCATAGAAATGCGCCCTTCCAATGTTTGCGCATGGACACCGCTTTTGAAATTACCTTATTTATTTTTCGGAAGTGTGTGCGATTTTGTTGTAGCCGATATAGAATACTCACAGAAAGATGTGATACTGATAAAAGTGCAAAAAGAAACAGTTTAATGTGAAAATTCGAATACCCTGCAATTCCTGCAAATTAAAGAATAGAAAAAATGTTCGTTGCAGAAGATATATTCGGTGTGATTATCGTGCATAATATGATGTAAAAATGCCCATGCCCACGCGTTTTATAATGTGAACCCCGCTTCTGGAATCATTTCCGATAATAGGAAGATAGCATGCGCCACCCTAGTCATGCATTATTTGTTATCAAGCATTTGACATCACTAGGCCTGGGAAGGAAAAGCGAACTGAATTACTGTCAGGCGCGGATCCAGGGGGGGGGCCGAGCGGGCCTTGGCCCCCCCCCCGCAAAAAAAAAAAAAAAAAAAAAAAAAAAAAAGAGAAAGAAAGGAAAAGAAGGGAAAGGGAAAGAGGAGAGAAAGGGAAAGAAAAAAGAGGAAGAAAAAAGAAAAGGTTAAAGAAGGAGATCGGGGGGGCCGAAAGAGCCTTGCCTCCCAGGCTGTTGACCCCCGCCCCCCCCCCCCCCCAATCAAAAAAATAAGAGAGAAGGAAGGAAAGGGAAAGAAAAAAGGAAAAGAGGAGATACTGGCGTACGGATGGGGGGGGGGGCTTGGGGGAAATCAAATTCAAACGTGGTTTATTTCTAATTCCACAACGGTGGATTACAAATAATGCTGAAATTACTGAATTTCCGAGATTTTTCCTCACTTTTTAGTAAATTATACGTTTGTATGTGTTTGTTGGAAAATGACAAATTCCTAAATTTACAGCCAGGCAAGAAATATGATTCTTGAGATTCCTACATGTCAGGGCCCGAGGTACGGCAGGGATCGGGAGCCTCGAGCTCCCCCCCCCCCCCCCCCCCACACTTTTTTTTGAAAAAGTATAAAATAGAATGAGAGCAAGAAAGAGAGAATAGTTAACTGCCCGTGTTAAAAAATAATGAGGCATCAAAATATGCTCATCTGAACTGGATTAAAAGCCTAAAACCCCTAAGCTTCCGGGGGCTCTGCCCCCATGGACTCCACCTATAGGGCCCTACGGGGGCCCATAGATGCTCATCTGACGGTACTTTAATGCCTAAAACCCCTGATTTTGGGGGCTCTGCCCCCCTGTACCCCACGCCAATAGTGTCCTGCCAGTGTCACAAAATAATAAGGTATACAAAAAAAAAATGCTCATCGGACCTTAGTTAAACGCCTAAAACCCCTGAGCTTCCGGGGCCGGCTCCGCCGTCTCGACCCCACCAGGGGCCCTAAGGCCGCCCCTGAATGCTTATCTGACCGTAAGTTATTGCCTTAAACCCCTGAGCTTGCGGGGTCGGACAAGGTATCAAAATGTGTTTATCGGACCGCAGGCACGTAGCCAGGGGGGGGGGGGAGGCGTAGGAAGAAAAAGGAGCAGACAAAAGATATCTTTGAAATTCAGAATCAAGAACGGTACAGCAAATCGTCTTCTTTCTCTTTTAATCTTATGAAACGTCAAAGCTTCCGCGCTTTGCGCGCGGGAGGGGAACCTGAATTCAAACGAGGATTCAGAGGTATACAAAAAAAAATGCTCATCGGACCTTAGTTAAACGCCTAAAACCCCTGAGCTTCCGGGGCCGGCTCCGCCGTCTCGACCCCACTAGGGGCCCTAAGGCGGGCCCCTGAATGCTTACCTGACCGTAAGTTATTGCCTTAAACCCCTGAGCTTGCGGGGTCGGACAAGGTATCAAAATGTGTTTATCGGACCGCAGGCACGTAGCCAGGGGGGGGGGGGGCGTAGGATGAAAAAGGAGCAGACAAAGGATATCTTTGAAATTCAGAATCAAGAACGGTACAGCAAATCGTCTTCTTTCTCTCTTAATTTTATGAAACGTCAAAGCTTCCGCGCTTTGCGCGCGGGAGGGGGAACCTGAATTCAAAAGAGGATTCAGAGGCGAGAACTATAATACGAATTTTTAATGATTTAATGAAACATAAAAGCTTCCGCGCTACGCGCGGGATAGAGGGGGAACTAATTTCCGACGTGGATTATTTTCGAGAACGGTACAACGAATCGTCTTCTTTCTCTCATGATTTAATAAAAATTAAAAGCTTCCGCGAGAGGGGGAGAGGACCTGAATTCAGACGAGGATTAAGAGTCGAGAACGGTACAACGAATCGTCTTCTTTCTTTAATATTTTAATGAAACGTCAAAGCTTTCGCGCTTCGCGCAGGAGGGGGAGGGGGGGATGAATTTAGACAAGGATTAAGAGTCGAGAACTGTACAACGAATCGTCTTGTTTCTCGAATGATTTAATGAAACGTAAAAGCTTCCGCGCTTCGCGCGGGATGGGGAAAATCTAAATTCAGACGAGGATTATTTTCGAAAACGGTACAACAAATTGTCTTCTTTCTCTAATGATTGAAAGAACTTAAAAGCTTCCGCGCTTCGCGCGGAGGGGGGGGGGGGAACCTGAATTCAGACGAGGATTAAGAGTCGAAAAGTCTACAACGAACCGTCTTCTTTCTCTAATAGTTACATAAATCGTGAAATTTTCACGCGGGAGGTGAAAAACTTAATTCAGACGAGAATTTTTTTCGAGAACGGTACAACGAATCGTCTTCTTTCTGTAATAATTTAATGAAGCGTCAAAGCTTCCGCGTTTCGCGGAGGAGGGAGGGGGAAACTCGCCCCTCCCTGCACTAACCCCCCCCCGCATTACGTCACTGTTGGTCACCATTTACGTACCAATATTTGGCTCGCAAAATTTCAAATTTGGCCCCCCCCCCTAAGAAATCCTGGATCCGCGCCTGATTACTGTAGCCGTCGGGTCTCTCTTCCCTGTAAAACTGATTCGAATTTTGGGTTAGTTTGGTTTGGATTGACTTCTGTTTTTAAATGAAATACACTCATAATGTACTTTGATTTTATTTTCATTTGATTTAAATTAGATCAAAAAATCAAGATTTCGCCTGTCTTCCCGTGTATGCATTTTATATAAGGAAAAGAAAGCAATCGAGTGGGATCTCATTTTTGCCTTAATAAGCCCATTTGTAAACAGCGGTATTGTGAATACATGAAATCATTTACAGAAATTGATGATAGAGTATTACGCGACCAAATATCCATGAATAGTTTAGAGAAAGACAAAAAAAAAAAAAATATGTGACAAATCAAAAATCCTGATTCAAGAAGTAACGAGTGGAAAATAAAACCACACTAACAAGCAAACAACCTGATGAAAAGTATGTTTCATGATTACTGCACTGGCCGCTGTTCCGTGTGTAGTTATTAAGATTGCCGTTAGCAATGGCGTAGCTACCAGTGGTTTTGGAGCAACTGAGGAACCATTTACCAGAATTTTGCACCCCCTTCCTCATCGATTGCCAGAATGAAGGAGAAAGAGAGAGATAGAGAGAGAGAGAGAGAGAGAGAAGAAGAAGAAGAGAGAGAGAGAGAAAGAGAGAGAGATGGAGAGAGAAAGATAGACAGCGAGGAGAGACAGAGAGGAGAGATAGGAGAGAGAGAGAGAGAGAGAGAAAGAGAAGAAGAGAGAAAGAGAGGAAGAGAAAGATAGAGAGAGAGAGAGGAGAGACAGAGAGGAAAGAGAGAGAGAGAGAGAGAGGGAGGGAGAGAGAGAAAGACGGGAGGGGGGAGCAGGCGCGGATCCAGGATTTCTTAGGGGAGGGGGCCCAACTTCTTTTTTTTTTTGCTCCGGAAAATTTGAAAATCGCGCCGGCCGAAAAGTCGCTCAGTGGGGGGGGGGGGGGGGGGGGGGGGGGGGGGGTACAGAGCAATTTTTTTTTTTTTTTTTGCTCCCGAAAATTTGAAAAACGCGCCGGCCAAAAATTCGCTAAGTGGGGGGGGGGGGGGGGGGGGGGGGAGGGGTAGTGAGCACATTTTTTTTTTTTTGATCCTCAAAAAAATTTCAATTTGCACCCCCCCCCCCCTTGAGCGCCAGGGGGGGGGGCCCAACCCCCAAAAAGGTAAAAATCACGTGATTTTACATGATTTTTTTCTCAAGGGGGGGGGGGGCCCGGGCCCCCCGGGCCCCCCCCCCCTGGATCCGCCACTGGGGGGGAGGCAGGAAAGGCAACGTGGAAATCAGATGATAAGACCACTCCCACATCATAATTATACTCGGTGTATTTCTCATTTCTCCCATCTTGAAATTTCCAGTCGACCCCCCCCCCCACAACATAACACGGACGCTGATAGATTTATCATTAATTTATGATAACCAGAATGTAGTGCCAATCATTTTCTCGTAGATTTCTGGGGCAAAATATAGGACAGTGACAGATGTAATTTTTTGTCAAGGTCAGATTGTCGGCTTTTTGATTATTAGCAAGATAGTTTCAATTTCATTTCAATTTCTTTTTTATTGACCAAAGGAATTTTGCTGTTCTCAATTTGTACAAACAATTTTACATAAGATAATATCATCGCAAATATATATCATGGTAGAGATAGATATTATAATATGATAAATATAATATAGGACTACGTTATCTTCCCCATGTTTAATCCACTGTGATTTTGATGGAAATAGCCAAAGTGTTTAGAGATTCGTTTATGTGCGAGCGGCAGGGGGAGGTGTGTGTGTGTGTGTGGGGGGGGGGGGGGGGCAGCCCCCTACGGTTCTTGAAATACCGTACTCGGAAAATGTTATAGTATACGTCTTATACGATGATTATGATGATGACAAATAATGATAACGTTGATGATGATTAGGAAAAGGATACTAACAGTGATTTTAGTGACGATGATAACAACAAACACAATGACAAAGATGACGATGATGAAAATAATGGTGATACTGATTGTAATAGTTGGAAAATAATTAAATGGCAAAAATGAGGTAGTTTGATTTCAAACTGTGATAATTGAATTGAATATTTGAAGGAAATGGAAAATGACCATCACTCTTAGATGAGACAACTTGATGCGATAAATGCAAAACAGTTTCCCAAACTTATTATGCTCGAACAAACAGGATTTAGTCATCGACGTTCCAGTAACAATGCCGAAGGCTTCGGGGGGAAAAGGGAAGCAATACTTAACAATGATTGGACAATAACTATGCTCACGTCATCAGGTGATTTAGCTGGGAGGTAGGAAGGGACAAAATGGGAGAGAGAGAGAGCGGAAGGTGAGAACGAGAAGTTTGTGTGTGCTATCTCATCGAATTTCAGGTTTCTCACATATCGCAATTATTCAAGCTTATGAACGGATCAATATTTGTTGTTGTCTCGCGTCCCTGTGATTTGTATTTCATTGATGTTTGCTAAGTCTCACTGTGCCCGTTTTGGCCGTAGGTGACAACAAAATGATCAGTTTTTGTTAAACAAAAATGCACATTTAAGGAGAGTGTAAGCGTAGTAGGTTCTATATCGTGAAAAATTATGGCGAATTCATCTGAGGTAAACGATTCGGAACCGTCAGGGGCGTCTGTAGGGCTCATGGTAGCGACATCATTTCAAATTATATTCGGCATCATGGGACTGGTAGGGAACTCTATTTGCTTTGCTGTTTTACGACGCCAATCTCGTAAGAATCACACGAACTGGTTAATCGTAAACCAGTGCTTTGCCGACATCCTCACATCTCTTGCTTTAATATTGGTCGTCATCCAATTGCACTGGTTTTCTCTACCACCAAATCTCGGATATCTCGGCTCTCAACTCTACTGTCGTCTTCTGGATTCACGGATTCTCATCTTCAGTGGCTTTGCGACGTCGTCTTTCAACCTGACTATCATATCGGTTGAGCGTTACGTCGCGGTTGTACACCCAATGCTCTATGTGACGCGCGTCAAACGCAAAACAATGTACGTGCTCGCGATAACTGCGTGGTTGACTGCACCAACGTTACAGATTGTTTTAGCCAGTACGCAGTTCGACTACCGCGATGGACGTTGCGTCATCATCGACAGAGGGCCGGCGGTCGGTGTTGCGTTGTTTATTTGGGAATATTTCATCCCGGTTGTCATCATGGGGTTTTCTTTCTTCCGCATTGCCGCACGGTTGTACTCTCTTAACCGCATCTCCACCGAGGCGATGCAGGACACCAACTCTTCAACCGCAGCGAACAGGATACAACCGTCCAACGTGCCCACTGTGTCCGAAGCAACATCGACCGCAAATGTATCAACGAACGGCTCTGGAAGTGGTCAAGCAGCAGTGAATTCCACGACGCAGGCCTGCAGAAATGTTCGACGACGCAACATCACCATAACGCTTTTCATAATCTACATGACTTACCTGGTTTGCTGGACACCGAACCAGTTTATCTTTTTGGCCTTCAATTTTGGAGTTCTCCCAAACTACATAGGCAGTACGGGGCATATCATTACAACAGTCCTGGCTACACTGAACATTTGCATAAACCCAATCGTATATGCATTCAGGTATAAGGCATTTAAGAAAGGACTTAGAAATGTTGTGCTTAGATGTCTACACTTACAGGAATAGAGGAGAGGAAGACAGTTTGACTTGTAGAGGTGTTGAGGTCCAGTGGACAAGTGTCCGAACAGTGAACATGAAGGTACTGTCCTTTGGCAAGACATTAATCTTCCATTATTACAATCCGTCGAGATGAAGGAAATGAGTAACTGGAATAAATTAATTAAGATGCTTGAGCGCTGTAATGGCAGCCGTTTTAAAGCAGTTCGGTGTACAAAATGTCAGAGGTAAAAATGCCAGAGGTAAAACTGTCAGACGTAAAAATGTAAGAGGCAAAAATGTCAGATACAAAAATATCAGAGGTGAAAAGACCAGATGTGAAAATATCAGAGCTAAAATTATCAGAGCTGAAAATTTCGGAGGTAAATTTGTCAGGTGTTTTTACCATATCTGTCAAATGTGTTACCTTGCACGTGGTTAAAGCCGGGATAATTATAGCGGAGCGCCAGGAATGAAACCGTGATAGACATGAGCGCTATATAAGATTTCACTTAAATGATTACTTTCATTATGGTAATAATTTGTTTAATCTATATTAATAACATTATTATTATAATTTTTTATTATTATTAATATTTATTATTATTATTATAATTATTATTATTATCATTATTATTGTTATCATTATCATTATTGAGAAGATGAGAACGAAAAATGAATCACGAAGCTTCAGTATGTCTGTATATAGAGCTCTTTTTGGTTTTGTAATATTGATCATCCTTTACATAATTATGTACATTTGTATTGAACTGTTTCTATTTTCGCACTCGTGAAATTCAACTGAGCTAAATTCAATGTATTTATTAGTCCAATGTACTTTCAACACGGATTTTTGTTTTACACACATGTAAAATAAAGATGCAGTCGTGGTTTACTAAGTAAAGAAATAGGATATATATAATATATCATGAAATGTGGATACATTTCAGTGATAACAAACTAACAATTATTGATAATAGTGATTATGTATTGATTAGGTATATTTTCCCACTAAGTCAATATCTTCACCATTCATCTGCATTGATTCAATTAAAGATGCCCTTGCCTTTTACAAAAATTCGTCTTGGGGGCAATCAACTATAGAAAGTTATCAGTACAGCATGTTGAAAAATGTGTCAACTCATTTCGATAATTCTCTTTTCCTCGGTTTATTAAACCAATCAATACTGTGTCGTCTGCATATTTTAAGACAGTAACATCATCATTTGCTGATTTACAATCATTGTATAAAATATGAAAAGGAGTGCCGACAAAACACTATCTTGAGGAGAACCCATTTACAGAATATTTTTTAGGAGTAATCATTTTTTACTATCACTTGTTTAAATGGAAAGAAAGTTCCTAATCTATAAATGTATTAAAATAGCATGAAAAGAGTTAAAATGGACATAAATATTCAATTTGTTGTTGTTTTCTTCGCATCTCTGCGCGGTCGCTCGTACGTGTACTACACTTCCAATTTTACACAAGACACTTGGCTCCAATTGGGTGAAGGATAGCTTTGTGCAATACAATGACTTTGAGAAATTACCCATCTCTGGTCTTGATCAGCCCTATGAAGTTTATTTGAAGTTTGAAGTTTTATTTATTCCACATTTTACAGAGAAAAACAGTTAATATTCTTTTTTTAATTCTTTATACAGGTGTATATTATTATAAGAGTTGATATCACACAAGAAGAAATAAAAAATTTAAAGATTTCAAATCAAATATAATGTACGGAAAATAAGTACAAAATTTCGAAATATGTAGATATAACGGGCAAGGTAGAACAATTAAAATGTAGGGAGCCTAAATAAAAAGGAAATGGTTGGTATGTGAATAGGCTCCCGTACTGAGTAACACAATATAGTACGTCTGAATTTAAAAGATATTATAGGAGGCGAAAAACGGAGTAGTATAGTATGAGATTTTAGAGACGTACAAGGAGAGTGACTATGAGAACCCTCATAACATTAAAGAGTTAAAAACGTTTAAAGCTTAATCTTGAACAGCAAACAGTTAATAATCCTAATGAAGTCATACATACAGTGCATTCGACAAAGGGATGGTATTTGTGTGGAATATAAGGAGTTAATTATTGTAGTGATATTGGACCAATCCTCTTGCCTTTTTTTTTTAGGCTGAGCAGCTATAGGAACCTATCAAATTTTATCGAGATTAAGGGAGCTACGAAGTGCGCCGTTGGTTTATAGACGTAACAGGATTTACAATAAGTCATTTTGATCCTGAAAGCTAAATTTGTTCATAATAATAATAATGTTAAATGATAAAAGAAATAAGAAGAATATCCCTTGTGTAGGAGTGTGGGCATGAATGTGGCGTGTATTTGTATGTTTGTGTGTGGGCATGAGTGTGTTGAGTGTGGTTAAAAAATATACAGTTTTTGTATGTGGATTCAAGAACAATTTATGATTATTTAATAAAAGTACTACAGCAAACGTATGATTTTGCAGGAACGGGAGGTGCAAAATGATTATGATTTTATATAAAAATGAATTAAATGAGATATTTATTAGACCAAGAATAACTATACTCGTTAGAAAACAACGAGAATTTTCAATTTAGATTATTGCATGGAGACATAATGATAATGAGCATCTTCATATATTTGCTTTTGTTGGTGATAATTTATGTTCATTTTGTAAACAGGTAATATAAACAATTTGCTTTTAATCTTGTGGGAGCGTTAAAAGGATATGGCAGGTTTTAGTACAGTACAACTTGTTGATTTAGATGAAATTAAAGATTTAGAATGGCGAGATATATTTGTTGGGTGGGCAGGTAGTTCATATAAAATAAAAGTCTTTGATACTATAATTTTCATGGTGAGGTATGTTATATTTATGTCAAAATCGGTGGGGGGGGGGGCAATAACCAATTTTAGAAAAAAATGAGGAAATCATTTTGAATTATAGGGATGAGGAAAAGGAATAGCCATTAGAATGGGAAAAGCTGGGATTACATTTTCTAAAGTGGGAGCAGCGTAGTGTTAATTAAGATTTGTTTTCCTCTTCACCGAGAGCTTGTTAAAGTGTAACTCTATTTTGCAGCCGGGTTAACTTATTTACTATATTTCTTGTGTTGATAATGTTAGCAGACATCCACTGAGTGTGTGTCTCTGTGTGTGTGTATGTGGGTGTGTTTTTGTGTGTGAGGGGGTGGGCAGGGAGGAGCAGGACTTTGTTCCTTGTACCAGTAAAATAACCACCAGATTTGTTAAAGTTTTCTTTCTTCATTAGGGTGAATAACATGTTCAATTGACTTATTCATTATGTTTATGTACTTTAAGTTTACTTTGTTGTTCAGTTATATATATACTGCAAATGAGTTTTTGTTTTATTAAGTTTGTTTTTAAGCAATTAATATTGAAAACGTTTATTTATTTTATTCAATTGTATGTTGTTCTTGTTTGTATTACATTTGGAGGAATAAAACAATATTATACAACAAAAATATATTTAAAAACTATGTGTGTGGGGGGATGTGCGTGGGAAATTTGTTTGTATGTGTGTGTGTGTGTGTGTGTGTGGTTGTGAGTGTGCGGCGTGTGTGTGTGTGTATTTGTGAGAAATTTAATGTTATTCATTGATTTTAAATCTAAAATATCGTAATTACACTTTAATCCTATAAGTCCTATTTGGTGAATTCACTTTGATATGAGAGACAAATTAATTTCCTGATCAGACTGACATTTCGGCCACTTCAATCGAGATCATTACAGCTCTTCAACAAATCAATAGTTAGCCGATAAACCCTCTATTTAAAATCTTCCCTTTTTAAATAATGAAAATCTAAAATATTGCAGGGAAAATAAATGTCCAGGTCAGACTGAAAAGTGGGACAAAAATGAGAATAATTATAGATTTTTTCAATCTTTCAAGGGGCAGAAATTTATTGCACTACTCTTTTTTCCTCTTAGAGAAAGAATTGAAAACAATTTTTTTTTTTTATAAACGTGGAAGGTAATGCTTACCCTTATAATCCCCAATGGAATTAGCAATCAGCAGGTAAGTATCTGCTTGAGAGTCCTTGGGGTGTTTCACAAAGATTTTAATTCGAACTTAACTCTAAGTTGGACTTTAAAAATATGGAGAGCCATTTGTTGCCTTAAAATAAAATATATTACAAAGCAAAAATTCAAGTATTTTAGACTTTTCATAAATTCCTCATTAAGATTACGAAATCTCCCATGATAATAGAAAATATGAATGATTTGAATCAACATTTTATGCCTTATAAAATAACTGTTACGAAACATTTTCAAAGATGCTAACGGCTTTCCATAACTGTTAAGTCCAACTTAGAGATAAGTTCAACTTAGGATCTTTGTGAAACACCCCGCTGGAATGGGTGACCTGCTTGGTGTTACATCATTATCATGCACTGCTTCTGCGCGTAGGGTGTGAAACGGTCTTCCTCGGCATAGAAAAACATGAAAAGTTCAGAAGTAATGTGAAAATATTGACCATATTGTAAGATTTCAAAATTATGAACCTAGTGCATCGTTTCCACTCCTTCTGTATTCTGTTCTGTAAATTAGCGCATAGAGACATGCAATATTATGCCTCAGTGTTATGCGCTGTACAAAAACGTTTAATTAGTAATATTATCATTATCTCCGCCCTTGTGCATGACCTCATATCGAGTTTCAAAACCTAACTGAAGACTTACCTAATTCATATTGCTTACAACTAGCCACTACCAAAGTCTTTCTCATGTGATCCAGTAGTGTTTTGGTGTCATAACCGCCTTTCAATAGCCATCTAGATATTTGCGCTCTATAAATTCTTAGATTGGAAGGGAATATCCATTTCCACCAGAAAAAGAGGTAATATATTAGTATACAAATAATACACAGAAGTGAGGGCATTAGTAAGTACTACCCACCCAAGGTACTTACACGCCCGAGGCGAAAGCCGAGGGTGTTTGGTTGTTTCTAAGGTACCGAGTGTGGGTAATTTTATTAATGCCCGAACAAAATGATGGGTATAATTTGTTTTATAAGATGATGTTTTATCTGTTTTATAAAATGATGATTTGTAACATAATTTTACTAATGACCGGTCATTAGTAAAATTACGTGTTAGGCAAAATAAATGCCTGGTCACGTGTATACGCTATCTACCAATCATGTGATTAGGATCCGCTTCATTATCTTATAATACCTTATCATTCTTTCTTTTTCCAGATGCCCTTCGAGCCAGGCAATGAATTGTTTTGTTGATACCTACACGTTTCTTAATACTCATTATCCTACTCTCTATATAATGATGCCCTTCAAAGCCAAGTAATTAAGTCTCTTGTTGATACCTACAAGTTTCTTAATACTCATTATCCTCTTCTCTATACCGCATGTTTGCAATAACCATCTACCACAATATTCCGTCATCATTACGAAAACTCTGATAATGATGAGTGTCAATTATGGAAACGAGTAAGGCAAACAACAGCTCTTGAGAACAGTTGAAAAAAGGCAAAAAATCCGCAAGCATACCAACGACAAGATGGTCA